GTTTGGAAGGTTTGAGTTTCTGGTTTGGCTTTTTTTTTTTTTTTTCCTTTCCATGAGAAACAAAACTAAAATGTTTCAAACATACACTTACTGGTTGAAAGTTGAGATGGGATGGGTGACACTGGCACACAAGTTTCAACCTCTGCCCAAAGTCCGAACTTCCTTTGTTTTTGAATACACAAGATACGTGTTCAAGCAATGGCTTGTACAGCCCCTTTAAGGAGCTGTAACAAGAGCTGCAAATCAAACAGTTCTGTAACAACTGGGTCAGTGTATATAGAAAGACTTTCAAATACGGTTATTTATTCAGTCTCCTGCTGTAAGATTAGCCCCATTATGTGCCTCCTATGCATTCCCTTCCAATTCATTCAATTTAAATAAAACTTTCTGCTAGAACTCATGTTTATATCAGTGACATTCATCTAAATAAAATATCCCAGGCACTTGAGTCTCAGGAACCGTCTTATGAAGAAGCAGATCATATTCTATTTGTTTGGAAATGTGATGCATGTTGACGTGGGCTTATTTCAAAATAATGTCAAAATGTTAAAATCTTTATGAAATCTTAACATTAAATTTTTATGAAGACAGAGATGGTTGCTGGGATGTGATTCTGAGGGCTAGGACCAAAATCAACTGCTGAAAGTAAAAAAAAAAACCGCAATACTGCCATAGGGGGGAAGAGGGAACAAACACAAACTCAGGGTAATCAGACCTGTCTTTTTTATAATTTTTATCTTTTTTTTGCATGATGTTAGCAATATAATGTAAATTTTATACAGTGCTGTACTAATTTGGTAATTCTTGTTGGTTGAACACACAAATACTATCTTTTCTTTTAATGTGCTGAATTTTTTCTTAGAGAAGCTTGGCAAGTCTTTCCTCCCAGTCAGAGGTCTGAAGAAATTGAGTAAGTGTAGATAAAACTAGCCTGTTTAATCACTGAAACACAGGAAAAATTAAAATACATTTTTTGCTTGTAAAGTAGAGAAAAGCAATAAAAGCAATGCCAGACGGTTAATGCCTCTCTTGTACCTTTCATTTCAAAGACCTCAAAAGAACATCAAGAAGAATAAAGGCAAAATCTATTCCCTATTGGCATCATTATAAATATTGTATCCTCTAAAACTCTAAAGACATCCAAGAAGAGTAGAAGAATAAATGGCATTGAAATAAAGAAAGTCTCTCTGGAGCTTTGTTCAATCGGCTTTGTTAGAATTCACTCAAATAGGATGATTATAAGAAAAGATCTCATTTGTTTCAACATTAAAGGAGCAAATTAATATGTGGCAAGCTGCTAATAATTGCCTCATTATGTAGTGAATGGGCATTGCGTCCAATTTACAAAATTACAATCATATTGTTAAAGTAACAATTGAGAAAGTTTTGTCTGAGTTTCCCAACTATCTGCATGATTAGTTGTGGGATTCAGAGTGGAACAGAGTTGGTGGCTGGAGAGAGCACACCACCCATCTATAGTGCTAAGAAGCCTCAAGAAAAATTCAACATTTCATTAGCGGGAATTCCATCTGCAGAGGTCCTGAGCTGGATTTGGCCCAGCTGAGGAGTGAGTTTGGTAGTCTCTGCTGAGACCAGAGCGTGGCATGTGGCTGGTCTGGCCAGACATTATTTTGTGGTTCAGAGGCCTGGCCTGAGACTATCCCCATATGGACCTCAGCAGATGTGCAGGGCTGTGGCTGGGAAACTTGGTGATCCAACATCTGTGCCATCGGGAAACCCACCCATACAAATGGTTCTATAGCTGGAATTTCAGTTTCCTGATGGAGACATTGGAAATGGTGGGGGAATGTTCAAATTTGGAAAGTAAGCAATTTTCCAAATAATGAAATCCTGTGTAGAAGAAAATCATGTTTTGTGACCTACTTTAGTTGGATTTGCTTGTGACCTTTTCTAATTTTGGCTGATTTTGTTATTTAATGATTTGACCTTTGATTCTGTGAAGCCACTTCAGTGCTAAATGCAAAGAACTGTTAGATAAGTGACCTTTATTACACAGCTATTTCTCTTTGCTAGAGAAATGGCAGTGTTTTGCAAGTTCTAATTCACAGTTTTAATTATCTTTTCTATTGTCTGTAAGCTTGCACAGGAAATGGAAAGGTCAGACATTTCATTTTCTTTACTGATTAAAATATAAGTGTTCCTCAACAGTTATAATGTATCATTCAGAAAAAAGCTGGGACTGTTTGTCAGAACCATACCCAGCTGCTCTGCTGAGGATTTCTACATCTTTCTGTTCAGCAACAAAATGAGCCATTTTCTAGCAGCAATAATAGCCCAGCCCACTTGGTGTTTAAAGGTGAAATAAATGTCTAAGTACATGAAAAGAGAAGAAAAGATTAATGGTTCTTAATGTTTTTGTCTTTAAGTCATATATCTGTGATGGAAGGGAATGAAGATGTGAGAGGTGAACCTTGGCCTGATGTTCTGGGTCCACAGAGGATAAGCAGTAACAGCACAAGTCTCTGTGTGGTCCTGCCAGTCTGTTTCAATCCCACAGCTGCTGGACCATCTCTGCAGAGGAGAGGGCAGCCTGGGCTGCCTGGCAGACCCGTTTGTATTGTATGTGGATTCATGTGTGTTACTGGAGCCACCCTTCTCGTCTGTGACACAAACCAGCACCACAGATTGGTGGCCTGTCTCCATATGAGATTCAATGAGTGAATATTGATGTGTGTTTTCTCATATGTTGAGGGAGATATGATGCAAAAAAATAATGAAGGCAGTGGATGATTCTGGAGTCAGTAGAATATATATTATGGGTGTCTATCAGTCTCCTAACTCTGACTGGGGTGTCTGTTGGGAAACACGCATATTGGGACATGAAAAATCTCTCTACATTGTAAAAAATACTTATTGTGAGATAGAGCTGGGAGGGGGTTACCCTCTGACTCTGTTCAAGAAGAGCAGATTATATGTTGACCTAGTGCAGGCATTCAGTATTATGAAAGCACTTTTTAGATTGGAACAAGATAAATGAATCACAACAAAAGAGCTAGAAAACCAGGGGACACAGTTGCAGGAGTGAGTACTCGGCTTATTCAAGCAGAACAGTTGCACTCAGTGAATAGAAAATGTGCAAGGCATTTCTAACTAAGGTGAGAAAATCAAACAATTCCAAATTTAAGAAAGCAGCTCCATTTTAATGGAGAAGGAAGAATTTAGTGGAAAAAGCAACTCTGAGTATGAGACAAATTTAAATGGAACCAGATTCTTGACCAAATTGGCTTTTCCTATCTAGCAGTTTCATATTCAGCATTTGTTAGTTTGAAAGTTCACCCCGAAAGCTATAAATTAATCTACTGGGACTGTAACAATTCACTTCATGCTAGGATATGAGTTATGTGTGTGGATTTGTTTAGGTCACCCAGCCATGTCCTCATAATGTATCTTAGAGAGAACTTCTGTAAGTAAGCAGTAAACAGAAAGACTGCTATGTTCAGCTGCATCTCCTGGGATTTCATCCCTGCTGTCAGAGCCATGCAGGACAGCTCTCTAAAACTATAACAGCTATAAAAAATGCATGGTGTTCTGTGAAGGAAACATTGACAATGCTTTTGTATTCAATCAGGAATCTTTAGCTTCTGATGAAATGAGAAAATAATGTTTTCCTGAACCAGCCTCATAACGAAATCAAATCAATCACAATAGAGAAATCAAAGCTTTGAAATTGTGAGGTTTACTGCACAAGTCTTGCAGGATGCACCTTAATTCAGTACAATATTTGTCACCAAAAGATGAGATATTTTAGCTCTTACAGTTTGGCTCTCTTCAGATGTTTGTCTCTTGTCCTTGCATTATTGCCCCTTATCAAAGAATTTGGTTGTTTATCAGCAATAGCATCCTAGGGTTATAGTGGTCAAATGTAAGCACATCAACTAAATGAGGTGTGATTTTTGAAGAAAAATAACCACAAGCCTGATCAGAAAAGCACCCTAGCATCCTGTCAGAGTAAATGGCCAAAGAACGTGAAGGAAATTCTTCCTAAAAAATACTGAACTGATGTCACTGGCTCCCAGTTGTGAGCATGACAGAGGATCAAGTCTGTGACCATACAAAAAATTGTAGGTTATCTCTGACCTGGATGATCTTCTGTAGGGATTTTTTGATGGATCTAGTTTTCATTTGATTTTGATTTCTAACAGAACTCTTTATACAATACAATTTAAACAGAGGGCGTTTCCTTTTAGTCTGTAGGTACAAAAGAACGAAAAGATATTTACTCTTTATACTCTGACAAATGGAACATCGGATAGGTCCTTATATCTCTGTTAGATGATTTTTTCTATTTTCAATTCTTACTGAAGTAACAGCACCCTAGAACATGCTCAGGAAATACTGTCTTTGACTGTAGCTTTCTCAGGATTAAGTTCAGGTGTCACCAGTCCATCTGCCTCTCATTTCCATGGATCATAAGTGCTCTCTGGTGACAACAATATATTCCTCTATTCACATCCCCTGTCCAACTGCAGGATTTTCATACTATTATAGATTGCTTTTCAGCATTACATTTCTCATTCGACTTCTGTCAGAAATTTGGGAACTATTCATTCAGACACAAACACAGCTAATGCACAGTTAAACTTCAGCATTACTTTTTCAGCAGGTTTTTTCCTATTGCTCACACCTTGTTAAAAGAGAAGCCATTGATTTAAATAGTGCTTTCTGCTGCTTCTTTATTTCCTTGTTTTTTAGTGAAAAGAGTAACATTTAGAGAAAGAAAAAGGAATGGTTATTTGTATAGCTGACTTTGCAAGGTGGGAACAAAGGCCTATTTCACTGAAAAGGTTTGCATTCAGAGCTTTGTACTGGGAGAGTTTTCAAGTAGCTCTGCCACATGAGGATTGTGGTTTTGTTTTTTTAAAGAGAAGCATTGCTATCTATTTGTTGTACTGTACCTGTTTTTCTTTTAACTGAATTTTCAGTCTTCGTGTTTTACAGAGAAAAACTTGCAATATATGCTATTGTTTCCTGTCTTCCAGCCTCTACAGCTTGACTGTGACCTCTGTGCTGTTGTTTCAAACTCGGGACAGATGGCTGGCCAGAGGGTGGGCACTGAGATAGACAAGTCCTCCTGCATATGGAGGATGAACAATGCTCCCACAAAGGGCTATGAGGAAGATGTTGGGAAGAGGACAACTGTAAGAGTGGTCTCTCACACAAGTGTGCCTCTCCTGCTCAAGAACCCCGAGTACTTTTTCAAAGAAACCAACAACACCGTTTACGTGGTCTGGGGTCCTTTTCGAAACATGAGGAGGGATGGCAATGGCATTGTGTACAACATGCTGAAGAAAACGGTTGACAGCTTCCCAGCTGCCAAAATCTACGTGACAACGGAGAAGCGCATGAGCTACTGCGATGCCGTGTTTAAGAAGGAGACAGGGAAGGACCGGTAAGTCTTACACATGAAGAACAATTATAATGTTTGACAAAAGGTGTGTGAGAAAGTCCATGTGGGATGTCAGCTACTAAATGAGTCCCCAGATATGTTTTTAATGGATTGTTATATGGGTTTGACTGCTCTAAGCATTGATGAGGCAGCAGCCAGGCCCCATTTACCCCACCTACGCTACCTTCTGTTCATTCCATTTCTGTTGGCTTGAATCCCAAAAATATTGGATGTCTTCCTGAAATGTTTTCAAAGCTGTGTGTTGTTTTCAGCTCAATTTACTATTGATTAAATTGACATTTTATTTGAAGAGGATAATCCTACACAAACAACATTTCCAAATGCACAACCTCAGGATAATTCTGGATATTGCCTTTTCTTTTTCTCTGCAGATAATTCTGTTGAGATTCACTGTAGCTTTGCTTCAGACCTCAGGGTTATGCATTATTTCTGTTTCTTGGTGAAAACAGGTTCTCAGAGATACTGGAATAGATTTAGGTTTTTACCAGTTTTATGCTGAAATTCTGTTTTCCATGCTTGATAATGGGTATTTATGCTACTCAAGTGAGGCTTTAAGAGGTGAAAGGGTGAGGGCCACTGTTTGGACTAGCATGTTCAAAGCAGAAACTGGATTTGTGGAATTAAGACCACAAATTTTGAGAATTTGTAACCAAGCTGCAAAAATTCAGATCATCTGGGTTTTGGCATGGAAGAGCACCTGTCATGCGTACTCACTTGAGCTAACTAAGAAGGAGTTTCCAGATCACTGCTGTGCCTTAATATTGATTTTTAAATTTGCACATCATGAATTTGAGGTTGGGAAGGACTGTTGTTAGTCTGACCTGATTAAAGATACAGATACTCACAAACAACTTAACGTAGTCTGAAATTTTGACTTAGCTTTTGAGGTAGGAAGGCTTGTTATGTCAAACATACTTGTTTCACTATGCTAGTAAACAGTCAGAACTTGGTGGCAGTTGGTTTTTCCTATTTTTCAAACTATTGGAACATAAAGAGGAGCCTGCCTCTGTTCACCAAGTGTTCATGTTGCTGCTGTGGTTCTGGAGTTGGAGGGAGCTCATATATATCATAAAGGTGTCAAGGTTATCATGGCTTCTTTAGTTTAACTGAACAAACTGATGAACAGGAGCTAATAAATACACAAAACCCATTCTTCAAAAATGACCTTTAATAATCCAAGTCATCCTGTTTACATATTAATCAAGCTAAATATGATCACGAGTACATTATTGCATTGCTGTACATAAATTTGTTTATATATATGAGTCAGTCAGGTCACAGCGACTTTGCAATACTTCATCAAAATCCCTATTGTGAGATTAGACCTTGAAAAAATCTCCACTTTTTCCTATGAAAAACAAAAAAATCTCATCATTCAATGTCAAAGTATCCCTTTCCCCAGCCTACTCTATTCCTCTTCAACAAATTAGCACGTCTCAAGTTTTTATAGTTACGCAATTAACACAATACAAATGCTTCTTTTCATGTCAAAAGCAGATTGAGCTTCTCTCAGTGCTTATAACAAAGTTCTTAAGCAGCCTAATGTCAAAGTCGTCCATGGTCTTTTTCCTTAAGTTTCACATTTCAGCAGCAATACATTTTTATGAGCCTGTCTCATGACCCAATCACGTTGTTTGTGCATGTGTGTCCCTTGGACACTAAGGGAAAAAAACTCACCACTTCTCACTGTGGCAACCAGGTAAGAGCCTTGTATCTACTGCAGCTTTCATTTTCAGCCCTAATTTTCCACATCAAATACTTAGTGATGTTTTTAACATCATTTAGCGCTTTTGTCAGCCAGAAACAAGGGAAATGATTGATGCATCACCAGCCAACACCTTCTGTATCTCAAGAAAACATCTTGCACTTCCCTATTAATCAGGGACTTCAGTTTGGAAACTGTTTCATTTTCTGTAACATCTTCAATTTGCAGGACCTGTCTTCTTTTTCTAGGGAGGGTCATGAGACTGTTAGAGGTATCTAGCATTTGTGGAAGCAGTAAATGGAGAGCACAGGAGACTTGTGGGTGATGAAAATACTTTCATACATTTTGCCAACTATTACAATGCTGAGACAGACTCAGGTGCCTCAGCCAAATATTCCTTCAGTTCCTCAGAGAAACATCAACCCTTGCTTGGAATATTAGATTGAACAGAGGTCTGGTTTGACATGTCTCCAGCAAAAAATTCTGGAAGGAAACCAATTTCAACTCATATTTTAAATTGTACTGAGTGGATTGAAGCTACATCTATTTTAGTTTAATCCTAAAATACTGTCTTTCCGTACAGTGTATGCTGCTAATGCATAGTAAGATTGCAACAGATTTCTAGTCTGTCGAGCCTTTAATGAGTTTTCTGTTTCTACTCTTTGATGTACAATCTTTTTAGGTAATTAGTGGGACTTTTCAGCAGTTTCATCCTTGTGATGCTCAAGTTTTTAAAGGATGTTGTGAGAAGCAGCTAACAGGTATGTGCTGCAGTCACTTCTCATGGGAGCTTTATCCCTGACTTCACTGGGTGCAGGTTCAAAACACAGCTTTGGTATTGACAAATGATTTATTACTGATGTGTGGAAGAAACAAGAATTGCCTCTAAGTAAATTCCAACAAACAGTGTTTTTTATTTTGTAATGCATTTTTGAATTCTACAGCAGTACAAAATACCCTCTAATATGGGCTATCTGCACTGGGTAATTAACCTTGCATGAGTGTTAAGAATCTGGGGAACATATGTTCTTTCTGAGAGTCTTTGTTAGTGAAGCAGTCGAGTTCAAGGTAGTGAATGCTCATCCACTTTGAATAATTGTTGTACATAAATAATATTCATTACCAGACATTCAAAATTTTTCATTAATGCGTTTTACTTGGTACTTCCCTAGAGGGAGCATAAAGCTGGCAGCTTCTTCCAGTACTTCACTAATGTGCTGGTGTATTATATATATTGACTCAAGTGAAAGGATTTAAAGAAATATTAGATAATTACTAAATGTGGCATCTTTGTATGTACCTCAATCCAGATAAGTGGCTCTAAAGCCATCTATATCTTTGCCATGCAATACAAATATAATGCAATATGATATAATAACATTTAATTGGTAATAACAGAGAAAACTGTAATCTTCATTAAAGCAGCAAAGCTAATTCTGGTCTGATAAAGTGCACTGAGCATCCCTAAATAGGTTTTAATTAGCTGGCACCAAAGCTGCACCACCCTTAGGGAGGGTAAAATTAATGAAAACTAGCAGCAAATAGATCAATGCTACTGGATGTTCTTGCCTTAGGTGAAGGTGATGAGAAAGAAAGGAGTGTCTTTTAAGGATCATTTAGAAAATAGTCTGCATTAAAAGTCACTTTCAACAAGCAATGCTAAAATAAATCTGTGCTGATATCAGTGGAGCAGTGTAATATTTTCTGGACTGCAGGCTCCATTTGTGATTATACTACAAGCATCTCCGGCTAACCCCTGAGCAGTGCCTGGGGGCTCAGCTGCACATCTCCCCTCGGGGCTGGCAGTGGGCTCAGACCACTCCTGTCCCACTGCACAATGTGTGAGGCATTCAGCCCCAGCAAACAGCCAGTGCTGATGTGCTGGTACTGCCCAAAGAACAGCTTAACTGCGTGTTTGCAGTCACTCTTTTAGTGAGTTACTACTGAAAAGAAAAAGCTAGTGCTGAACTCTGCTGAAGAAATGTACTCTGCATTCCCAGTAAGAGATGTGAGATGATTTTCTGAAACCCAGCTGCTGAGGAAATGTACTCTGAATTCCCAGTAAGAGATATGAGATGATTTTCTGAAACCCAGCCAGTTTGGTAGACAGAGGACTTTCCACGTACACTGTCTTAACTCTGACAATGCCCTTCCCAATATCCAATCAGTTCAATTCAACAAGATTTTTTAAGATTATTAGCTACACACAAACGCATCTTCAGGTGGCAGATTCACTGAGCCACATTTGCAGTCAAATTACTGTTTCTGAAAGACTACTGTCAATATCTTGGGCAATTCTGAAGAAACAAAATAGCTTTTGTGCTTCTCTTCCAGAAGTTCTTAGTTTTCTCAGTTTGTGCCAGATGGTGCTATATGTTAGGTTGTGAGAAAGCTGTTTTATCATTCAAGACAGACAGATGAATCATTCTGATCGCTGACTTCTGCATCAAGATTCAAAATTTGGGGTTGTGTTCACGTTGCCATTTTACTCAGTTCTGCTCACTAATTATTTATTACTTTTGTGATATATGAGATCTATATTATATCTCTGTCATTTAGAGCTAGCAAATTACATTCATCTGAAGTTTGGATTGACACTGTTAAGACAACTACAGTCATCACAGCTTCACCTCAGCTAATATGTGGTTTTTCATGTGTCTGACTAATCTACATGAAGCTATAGTCTAGTAAAAATGTCATTGAAATGAATACATGAAATTACATTCTCTGAGGTTCAAGTAGCTGCAAGTTGTATTGTTTTGTGATATTCTCTGTGAATTGAGGTAGTCAAGCTGTCAGTGTCCAGAATATCAGAGTTTTATGGTATGTTTCTAGTTGTTGGCTTGAATGAAATACTATAGTAATGATATTTTCATTTTTGAGCTTGCTTCCATATATATATATTGGTTTTTCTATCAAAGTTATTCAGAGAAAATATAAAAGATTAGCTACTGTTGCTTAAAATTTGCAGAAAGCAGTTTTTCATTGGGAAGCTGTGAGCATTGACACTGAGTTTGGCTCAGAGAGTTAAATTTTGGCACTTGGGAAGTACGCCCCTTCAGTACCTTGTATTGATGTGATTTTTCTAAAAAAAAAATATAATTTCTGGAAGTTGAGGAAAAGTTCATTTCATTTTGAATAGAAAATGAGCAGAGTTAGGGAATATCAATGTCTTTAAATTACAGAACTTTAGGAAGAAAAGGATGAGAAAACTAATTCAGACTGACAGAGAAAATGTATAATGCCTGTTGGAACACTTTTAAGGACAAAGATTAATTGTA